ATTATCGCTGTAAAACAACAGTTCATGACTTGAACTTTTAATGAGAATAGTTCTGCTGTCTTTCAGTTAATATCAGTTTTATTGTTCATAGTATAAAAATGTTTAATAAAATAAGTCAGAAAACAAATGCAAGAGAAATAATTTAGTTCCAAGAGAAATAAAAGAATACAATGTGTTGTGTACACATACAAGAAACAATTCGCATATTAAAATAACAAGAAAAATAAAGAAACAGCAATAAAGTTAAATCATATCTGAATGAATTGAAAAAACTCAAATAATAAATTAAAAGAAAATTTGTACAGACTACGTTTAATTATGTTCACTATATGAAGAAACTATTGTTGTGACTAGATGATCTTTTTTTATCGAAAATAATGCCGTATTTCCAAACATTTTCAGCAGATACGAGATCTAGTTAGTTTAGCTTATTTTCTAGTATAAAAAAGGATCTGACGAACTTTTCAATGAATTGTAATATTTGATGAGATGAAATAATTACTATTCAATTGTTTTATTAAATATCGTCGTATTAGAGCAAGTGCTTTACTATTGTATGTTAAAACAAATTGGATAACACCAAAGTGCCATTGTTTTATATGATCATTAAAAATATATTGGACGAAATAACTGATTGATTGTTGGAATTTGCTGTATAACAATGAATGATATATTTGTTCACGAGCAACAAAACGTCAATAAATAGTAACATATTTAATTCACAACAAGCGCATATTTGGGCATGACAACCATATGGATATCCAGTTATATCCGGTGCTTAGCTAGTAGAATCAATAGACTTATTGTGCAGTTTTTTTGTGCACTTGTTATTTAAAAAGATCAATGTTGTAACACTAACATATCATTTATCCCATAGCATGGTGTACAATTATAATTAGAAATAACAGTATCTAGTAAATCTTCTTGAGCAAAACAACAAAGATTACAAAATGCACGGTTGTTTTTTTAAAGAATTGAATAATGCCCATGTAAGTGTAATACAAAATTCTCTGACCCAACATGATAATAATCATGATCTTCATTCCTAATAATTGAAAAATAATTGAAGAGATGTTGTAAATTTATCATTACTACATAATAATTTACAATAAAATAGACGGATTATAATAATGAATAATGCTAAATGTAACAATCGTTGAATTGGTAAACACTCTCGTGAAACAGATAAAAGGCTATTGAATAGTAAATATATTTCTTTTGTCAGTTTCACATATGCGAAGTCATTAATTGGTCTCATTTTTCGATGGAAAAAAATTGGGAAAGAGCTGCCTTTTCAATTTGACATGGGTAATCTTTCATTAGAGAGGTTTTATTGCATTATCCATAGTCAAAATAATGGTTTTTCCATGTCGTAGTAATGTAGAATGTAGATAATCAATCATAATGGCTTACAGTAATGATGCATACGGTATTTAATGTAAAACTTTTAGGCAACAATGTCCCCCAACATCACAACTTTCTTCTACCACTTGGAATAATTTTTGTAAATATTCTTTTGGTTGATGCTATTTGAATAATAATTCACAGCGATACTAACGTTTACCACCGACATGAACCCCATTTACATAGCATAACAAGCAGCATCAATAGCCACCATAGTCTACAGAATGTAGTACTAATTTAATTGCGGGATAGTCGCTAGTTTTACCGAAAACACTTCAATTTATCATTTAAATTACTTGCAACTTGAATGTCTGAAAAAAGTATATGATAGATTTACAAACTAAGTATAGATGGATTAATAAGAAACTCAATGCTAACCAGTGTGAGTTAAACGAAAACAGGTAAATGTATATCACGTGTCCAAACAGATGTGCTTGGTGTTTCTAGTTATCATGTACTTTTCAGAGTATTCTAGACTACATAATTGAGAGATAAAGAAGGGGATAGCTCGTGTTTCATTATCAATGGTTCTTACTTTGTGATTTTGAATAATTCAAATTATCACTGATTTTCTTTAACCACAAGTTAACTAAATATTCAGTGTATGCTTAACTAATATAGATAGAAGTACCAGGTTATCGAGATGATGTCGAAGTTTCGATGGTAGTTCGATAATGGAGCAGCTACACAGTCATAATTTTAATTTTGTTGCTTTTACAAGAGAGACTACATCCCAATGTAAAATCGAATAAATAAGATTTTCTCCAGCATTATGTGAAATTCAGAAATGATGTTAAGAGCTATAAGAGAAACGTAGTAGGAGAGGAAGAAAAGGAAATATATATATATATATATGTAACTAATTTTTCATTCATAGAGTGCGAGCAATATATCAAATGAAAGATCATTGGTGTGTTCAGCATCACCATTGTTTATTATATTTTGTTTGTATTCTTCAATTTATGTTGATAAGCGTCTAAATAATATTGATAAAACTTAAGCAAAATCAACATCATATATAGTAGCAATTGTTGTTTGATCTGTTGACTAACATTGTTTGTATATATATTCGAATTATACAATAATTCGCATTTACATAAAACACATACTTTTCTTTGTGTAACGATATTTTCAATATTCATCATTGTCAATAATTGTTTAACCCTTTACGGCCGGATGTGTCCATTTGGGCACATCGATCTTTTTAGTGCCGAAAGAATTTCGTTCTAAAAGAATAGACTTCATTGATCTCTACCACAGTCAAAACAATAAATGTAATGAGAAGAATCTTTTTATTAGTTAAATTTTGGCACCCGACAAGAAAGGAATATGCACCGAAGAAGATATCGCTATTTGATGGCTTATGCAGCCGGCCGTAAAGGGTTAAACGATGACGGCAAATTATTTAGTTCGGTTAGAGCTGATTTATTGAGTGATACTAAAGAACTGGCCTGTGATTTACAAATATTTGCACTGTGTAAGGTTTGTGTCAGAGGACGAGTGGAGCTATAAGGCCATTTTTCAGTGTAAAAGATTTTAAAGAAATTAATTAGATGAGAATGGCAGAATCTAAACGGACTACAAATCTGATGCCGTTAATCTCATTAATATCGCTTTCAGGCTTTTCATTTCTGTATCTCCCGACAGGGATTCGCAAAAACGAATTTTTAGAATTTTCTTGTTTTAAGTGTTTAGAAATATCGCGTCGACTAGGCTTCTCAGGAGTATCGACATCGAATCCTTAAAAAATGTAATGCTGACTTGAATTTCGAATTTGACCTATATCCGGATTTAAGGATCCAAACCTGATTTTTGAGAAATCGATGGCGCAGACTAATATCCCATGGAATAACTATCGAGAAACTACCGCTGGTAAACCGTCAGTCTTTTTTCAAAAGTGTTATATCATGGTGTATCGTATCAAAGCGAGTTAATGATTTTGAAGTTTGTTAAATCTGATAGAACTAGGTTGTCTTAAACACATTCTGATAATGTTGATGTATCTGAGTCTCCTGCACTTACCACAGAACTTGAATCTGCCCCACTTATGAGATAAATTTTTATTATACGTGACGCTGCAAAAGCTTTTATTAGTAAAATATATTTTGAAAGTGATTTTTTCGGTTACTTTGAATTCTTTCTAATCAATAATTGAATTTGAATAGAAAATGCTGTCTGCAATTGTTTACACCGGAAGCTGAAAGTCGTAAGTGCTAAGGCCAGTAAATCATGTGTATATACCGCCGGTAGTGCGAATAAACGTACGACATAGACTCTTGAACGTCCGAAACAGGATCGCTTGGATATGATTTTCAAGACTATGAGAATCCGAACGAATAAAGACCATTGGAAACACTTAACATTTCGAAAATGCGAAATACAAGAAGACAATTATGGTAATATAAGCATGACAGCTCTTCTTTTCCGTACTCCTAGTGCACTGAACAGTTAGAATTCACATGAAGCTATAGTATTACAGCGTAATTTTGCGACCTCTATTCAAGAATGTCATTGAACTGCTTAAAAAAAGGCTGAGATCAAGGAAAAAACTCCCTATTTTCCTTATTATTTGTTCACTTTTTCACCTCCCAATTAGCATAATGTATTTCTTTTGTTTTTTTTTCTCCTTAGTGCTGCAAACACATGCAGGTGATATAATTTCATATCTGACATAAAAAACTATTTTTCTTCACCTAGTTGAAAGAGGAGAGCAGTAAGCATGATTTTTTGTCTAGGGAAGGAAATCGACTTCATCTCTACACAGTCAAAATATACTTGTACGGAAACCCGGCGAATAATAAAACGATTTTGCGATTAAAATTTCCATGCTAATTAATGCATATTATAACCAGCAAAATACTACAAAAATTGCAGCTAATAGGACTTTCTTTTGAAATTATAACTATTTCATGGCGCTTTCTAACGCGTGCCACCATTTATCAAGAGAAATCGAAAGTGCAAAACTTGAATCGCAAATGCAGTCCTCTAAGAGATCTCATTGCCTTTATTCAACATCAAAGATTTCAGCTAAAACGAAAGTATCTTGGAGGGTGTGTGTGTAGGTCATTTTCTTTACCCACACCCACCCATGAAGTGAGACCTCAATTTCAAGACAAAGTGTAAAAATGATCGTATAAGCATGTTGCTGAGAAAAGAAGGAAAAGGAAGAAGCTATATTTTGTTATAATTCACTAACTATTTTATTTTTTTGAGGTAGCTGATAACAGATACAAAAATGATTAAGAAAGGTTCTTGTTTAGTATATAAGAATTCATACGAACAACATGCGTCATTATACAATACAAAACTTAACGATATGTAAATAATTAGAAAATGAATTCATAATTATCAATACAATGCGAGTTTTTACCCAGAATTTTCTAAGAATGAAACGAAGAAACTATTACGTTTGCCAAATTATGTTGTGTTCACTCGCATATTTATTCAATCTTATTCAGAGAAATGCATTATTTTTTTTGTCAATCAAAATAAATCTAAATGTTAGTATAATTTCTTTTTCTTTATTTTTTTTTTGAAAAAAAACCATTGTCTACTAAACAAAACATAATTAACATAAAATATCAAAAATCCAAACACTATGTTTTAGGTCGTCGTTTTGATAATTGATATTCATCCCATAATTTCGCTTTATCAACAGGAACAATGATACATTTTATAGATACGTCAACGAGTGGATTGATCTAGAAAACAAAAATTATATTATCTTAAAAGTACATTAAATTAAATTTACGTTAAGAATAATATTAAATTCTTCCCCTAATTTATATGTATCTTGATTAATAGAACCGTCTTCTAAAATAATAGCATCTTCATCACACATGACATTCTAAAATATTTAAAAAAATAAATTTTAAAATATAAAAAATCAACAACATACAATACGTCGAAGTGCAACACGAATATTATCTTTTGTTAGTGACCATTCTTTTAATTTAAGATTAATTGGTATTTGTAATAGAGTTGATTTCAAATAATCACGACATTTCATAACAAATGGTGATATTTGTGGTCGATCTACAAGTAATTTTCTTTCTTCTTCAAATAATGCAATGTTTTCTGGTGTTGGATAAAGTGCTAATTGTGCTGGTAATAATTCTCTATAAGCTATTTCACGTGGAATATTGACTATTTCACCTTTATAACCGACACCTATTTCATAAAATAATATTTGCTATTAAATATTTAAAATAATATTTGCTTTTTACCTTCAACATATTCCGTTAGTATAACATCAATATTTCCCCATTTTTCTGTATCTGTATCACGAATAATACGATATTGAAAATCGGTATATTTGTATTTACTATAATCGTAAATATTTTCCCATGGGCGTAATTTTGTCAATGGATGTACACGTTCGACAATAACAGTTGTCTAATTAAACAACAACAATGGAAATAATTAAGTTTATCAAATAATTTTTATTTACTCGAATAGGAATCTGAATAATACGAGCAGATTGTAATGGTCGAATCAATGTTCGAAACATCTACAAAAGAAACAAGCTATGATGGAAAAACAATATTCGTTTAAAAAAACAAAGAAAAGAGAAAAACAAAATCGAGTACGCATAGAACCATGAATTACTTTAAAATAAATGAAGAAAAAAAAAACAAAGTATAAAATATTTTCGTTTTCGAAATCATTCCATCGAAAATTGTTCGAGTTTATCACTTTTACTGAACCATGCTATACTTGTATCAGATGATCCAGATTGAAAAGCTGTTGAAATAAGATCTTTTACTGCAGCATATGTTTTATTAAGTTGTTTAGCTTGTTGATAAGTTGTACATGATAAAGAATTATCATTAGGAAAATTTGTTTTAATAAAATTTGTAAAGTCTTCAAAAAGATTTCGTTTACTTAATAAAGACATTGATCGATCATTTCTATAACACAAAAAAAAAAGATAAATGATAGAACTCGAAACTTAACCAAGTTCAAAACCAATCTATGATCAAGAAAAAACAAAACAGTGTACTTTTATATCGATTACTACAGTTCAGTTATTCAGGTGTATTCTAATGTATTCAACGATATTATTTATCTATTCTTTTTTCTAAAAGTTTCCCGACCATCAAATTTATAAATTTACATTGTGTAAAGATTCTAATGGCAAAAGAAGCAGTTTCAACTTCATTGTATAGTATGTCATCTATTCAGTAAGGGACCATACATAAAAAAAATCTTAGAAGTGCGGAAGGACTCACATTAGACATGAACGGGATCATGTTGTTCATATCTATTTAGAACATATGAGTTGTTACCATATGATTTTCGACGCAAGTTTTACCAGATCATAAAAAATCTCTCGCTCAATAAAATAGTGTTGGTCCTAGTTCCGGTTCTGATTAAAAACAAAACATTGGTTTCGGTCCTGATTTTGCCGGGATCGGGACAATCTTACTCGTATCTAGTTCAGACGCATCTGAACATTCGGGCAGTTATTAAACTTGTTTTATTGATTTTTTTACGCATTTTTCACGAAATCTTCAAGTTCAATTGATTTTGATTAGTATCTTTGAAAGAGCAACTACTCAGTATTCGATAATGCATCATCTAATAAATTACGTATATCAGTTGTTTAGTACAAAAAACAAAACAGTATATTTGAGCAAATAGTCTCTTTCTAAAAAAAATAAGAATTTGAGAAATTGCGATGTCCAAGGGACGAGATGGAACCAGTCAAAATCGGGTAAGAAGGAGAAAAGAAAAAACAATACAATTTTTACCAGGACATCCTCTATACATTACTACCCAACTCATATTGAAGGAGTTAAATGTATTTAAAAACTAGACATGAACGTAATGAGCTATTTTTAATTTCAATTTCGTTGATGTTTATTGCTTAAAACATGTAAAAAAAATGTTTATGAATCTTACTTCAATTTTCCAGTCATAGGTTCTAATAATTCTATTCTATCTGATTGTGTAATATTCCATGCAAATGCACTTGTTTGAAGTTTAGCTACTTGTCGTTCCTGTTGAAATGATTTCGTTTTTGGACAATCAATATCAGGTAAATGACATATAAACGGAGATGACAATGAACGAAAATGTTCATTTAAACGTTCACATAATGCATATTTGACATGATTACGATCGAATGTTGTTTCACATGCTAATGTTATTGATTCAAGATAAATTGGTTTAGTAAGTAAATTTATTAATAGACCACCTTGAATACCTAAGATATTCCATCGATATATTTTATCACTACATGATTTTATTGAATATTTTATTGAACTTGTTGAACCAAGGACAGTACCTTCTGCTTGACCTTGTTTATAACGTATAGAATTTGATGAAATATTAAATGAAGCGTTACCACATGGTAATGATGATATATACATATGAAATGTTATATTATCACGAAGTTGATATTTATTAATTGTTGAATTATATGCAAAAATTGATGATTTATTATCTTTTGTTTGTTTAATTTGTTCAAATAAAAATCTAATAAGACCACGACGTGCAAGTATTTCAGCATGACAATCATGTAAAGCTATTCCATCATCAGCATCAATAAGATTTGTTTCATCAAGACAAGAGTTTCCTGTAGCAATACTAACTACACGTGCTTGTTCATGTTGTCCATCAGTTATCATTAACATACATGCTAAAGTTTTTCGACCAAGTAATAATTCATTTACATTTAAATTTTGAAATGTTGACATAGATTGATGTGCAATATGATCATGTTTATGTGAAAATTCTAATGAAAATTGTTCATTATGACATGATTCACGATAAAGCATACGTAAAACTTGATCACATGCTAATTTTTGAGCTTCATTTTTTGATGAGCAAATCGATGAACTTGGAAATGAATGACCATCAATTGAAATTATACATGTAAATGATGATGGAGTAATCGAAGAACATTCATAATTTAATGTAAATTTTTTTTGTTGAGCATATTCATTTAAAGATGATAAACAATTTGCACTTTGTAGAATAGATAAAAGTTCATGACTTGGTAATAATAAATTTGTATTTGATACAGATTGATTATCTATTGATGAAGTACTTGTTTGTTCTTCTTTGAATAAAACGTCTGAACAATTTTCAATTGTTGAACAAATTGGTTGCTCACTTTCACATGGAACATCTGAATTATCTTTGTTTGATGAAGTAACTTTATCTTGTTGTTGTTCTTCTTCGGATGACAAAATAGATTGATCTGCAGATAGTTGTGAAATAAGAGAAGTTTGCGACGTAATAGTTTCAGTATCTGTACTCGGTTTACGAAGAATTGTAATAGGATGTTGAATAGGTTCGGGAGTTGATACAATCGAATCATCATTGTTAGTTGTTTGCTTTGTTTTTTTCTTATTTTTTGGTTCGATTTTACGAATTACTTTTGATAAATTATGACATTCAGATGTTGATGATGCTTTTGGTTTATTTGGATCATAGAGTTGTTTTGGTGGAAAACGATGATGAACATGTGGTGTTCGTGGATTGTAATAATACGATTCCGGCCTAAAATAAAATTATCATAATTTTCAAATTTTATAAAAAAATATTAGGCGCTTAAATCATAGTAGTATTCATATAAAGAAAATTAAAACAAAATGTATTCATTTCATGATTATTATGCACAGTTTGGTATTATATTAAAGAATACACCATATGAATCTATTATACCATTACGTTATGATATATATGAAGAAGCAATATGTATTATAATATTTCTTCTTTTACTTAGTATAGAAATTTTTATTTCTATTGCACAACTCTTAACTGATTGCATGAAAGTGAACAGAAAAATGAATAATAATGATTTGATAAAAACTTTATATGAACAACAAATAGATATCTCTCCAACAACTATCGAAACTTCTTCAGCAATTACTCAAACGATAAATGAATGAATGATTTTGTTTTTTCTGTTAAATAAGATATCGAAAATTAAAAATCATAGTGGAAAATACATTTCATTAAAATTTTCATGATTGAATACAGCCAGTGAATCTGATTCCGAGTAACACTTTTAATATCGTATGCCCTTGTTTCAGTCAGAAATCTCAAATTTTCGCCTATTTAATCTTGCCATTTACTATTCAGACTATTTTATTCTGATTTAGCAAAAACAAAACGGAATATTACTTTATATACTTGAATGTGTTTGATTATTATTCTCTCGCTCAACAAGTCCGACAGAAATCGGCCTGGCTCAAGCTAACTCCTATATTTTGCAAACGTATCTTCTTTTTTTGTTCGAAGAACTTTTCGCAAATGTCACACATCTTCAAGCTGCTGAGCGACACAGTACAAGGTTATGAAGGATTTTTTGAAAAACCTGCAATGTTTAATAAGAATATCGATTCTTTTGGTTTCTATGGTGAAGTCATACGAAAATAGGTTCGTATTTCGCAGTTTTCATCATGAGATTTTAACGAATAATATTTTCTGAAAAAACATGTATCATTCGACACAACTTTTTATGATGATTCCGAATATCATATACGTTTTGTCATTGAATAAAACTATGGTGGCCAAAATTACAAATATATAAGTCCATTTTTATATGATTTCACCATAGAAAACGAAAGAATCGATATCCCCATCAAATATTACAGGTTTTTCAAAAAACTCTTCATAACTTTGTTCTCTGTCTTGTAATGATTCGAATGATGTCTGACACTTGAGAAAAGTTCTTCGAACAAAAACAAAGGAGATATGTTTACAAGATCCAGGAGTCGGTCTGAGTCAGATTGATTTCTGTCGAAATTGTTGAGTGTGGCAGCAATTATCAAACACATTCAGGCATATATAGAGTAATATTTCGTTTTTTTCCTGCTAAATAAAAATAAAATAGTCTGAACAATAAATGACAAGAGTAAGTAGACGAAAATTTTAGATCTTAAGACCAGAAGACCACATGAGACTAAAGCAGTGATAATCAAAATCAGATTCGCACGCTATATTGAATTATGTGAAATTCAATGAAATGCATTTTTTTTACTATGATTTTGAACTTTCGACACTTTAGTACAATTAAAACTATTAGTAAAGGAATAATTAAATTTTAAGAAACTTACGTCCATACGTGAGGCGTCGATATCATATTCATTCCACGAGAACGATTCATCAATCGTGGATTCATTATCATATGAGGATATTGTGGATGCAATTGCTTGTAATTGTGATAGTTATAAGGATTACAGTATCGATTAGATGGACGTGAAGGTGGATACATATAAGTTGGTGATGTCGAATTAGAGGATGTTAATGAATAAGTTACATGATTTGAATTTGCATTCAGTAATTCACTAAAACAAATTTATATTAGACTTTTGTTTAAATTAAAAAAAGAGACAACTCTAACTTTGTCATTTCTGGTTCTTGAAAAGTAACATGTTTTGTTCTGGTTTTATTATTACTATCTGAAGATGGTTTATCAGAAAAGTTTGATGCAAAACTATCCACATAATATTCTGGCTGCGATGTTAGTGTTTCAGATTTAGATTTTATTGGTAAAGATGATTGCTCATTCAATTGAGTTTGCATGTATGATCTTGGTGGATAATAATTCTGTTCATATGTTTGAAATTCTGGATAGGATAATTGAATTGACATTAATGGTGGAGTAAAAGCGACTAATTGTGCTTGAGTTTCAGGTTGATTCATACGTTGTGGAGTAAAGTACGAAGGTGACGGTGCTGAATGATGATATGGATAACTCGGATGCAGACGAAAACGAGTTGAATTCGAATAACTTGTTGGTCTTACATCATGCATAGATAATCTAGACATAGGATTATTTATATCATCAAACTAAATAATAATAATAAAATGAAATTAATTGATATATATGCATATATAGAATGATATTCTACCGATTTATTATGTGTGAAATAATTTGTTTGAATTTCAACTTGATTTTTCGATGATTCAAAATTTTCATTAGACAGAAATGTAGATTCAGCTTTGAACTGAGAATTCTGCTAAACGATTGAATAATGTATTTATGTAATAAAAAGAATATAACATACATCTGATTTATTTGCATGGGTATCATGGTTTTTATTATTAGATAAAGAAACAGATGAACTTTCATGCACAGGTGTGATTTCATCCATTGATATAATAAATTAGGAAAAAAAATAGTTCTCTTTTTTGCAAAAAATATTAAACACAAATCAGCTGTAATTTTTTCTACCTATCGTCGTTCATTTTGTCTTTCGTTGGGTATTGGTGAATGTTATCAAACAAATCCGAATAAATACTTATTCAAAAGATGGCAGTAATTATAAGAGCGAATTTTATTATGAATATGTTCATAAATTAATAGATATGATTTCATGAGATTTTTTTCTTCTTAACACATTCAATAAACGAAATTTTTTTTTTTCGCTTATATACATTTATCTTCGTATATCTTTCGTATTTTTTGAAAAAACAGCCACAATGAGCAAAACTGTCTTTAACAATATTTACTTGAAGAGACTCATAAAAAAAAAAGTTACAATTCTTTACAGACTAGTAAAATCTATATCATGAATAAAATCTGCTTGCAGAATATTCTTGAGCTATATAAATTTCCTTATCAATTAATGGCTGTACTTCGTATTTTATAATCATTCCCAGCTGTAAACTAATGACTAGAGAATTTTCTTTTTTTTCATGAAATATTTTCAAGTTTTATGACATCGGCAATTTTATCATATACCTAGCCTTGCACGAAGCATTCGTTTTAAATAAAAGTCTACATTCATTCACATTTACCTGTTTCATTTTGACGAATGAAGGCAACAATGAAGCATACGAATAGAGAAATCGAATTATCAATATGGCAATTATATGCACTTATTATTGCAGCTATAGTATGTTTATTCGCTATAGCACCATTCATTTTTCGATATCGATCGAATAAATGTGATATTAAAAAGATAGAAACTGTAGTGGAACCTCAATCTTATAATTCGGATGTTTCATCGGATTATCATCGAAGATATGTTCGCGACGTTAGCAATCGTGATCAATGTAATATTGTTCCACCTATGTGTAGTTCCGCAACAACAATGGCTCCTGGTACAACCGCATCAATAAAAACAACACGAAGTACAGTTAGTACTGTTTCAGTAACACGGCCGATTATTACTAATTTTCCTACATCACCACTAACAACTACACTGGATCCATGGGCTAATCTTAGTCGACCGTATGACTCTTGGCGTTTACCAAGTTTTGCAAAACCTATTGATTATACATTACATTTTATTTGTCCTTATTGTTATACATGGTCAGAGAGTATGCCTATAACTACATTCAATGGAAAAGTATCTATTCGGATTAAAATTTTAAATGAAACACAATTTCTTGTACTTCACGCTAAAAATCTGAATATAACAGAAGCAAAATTAATTGATGGTATTGAAAACATAGCAAATATAACATATTTACCAGAATATGAAATGGTTCATCTACATTTTGGTTCTACACCTATCAGTGTGGGTGACATCACTCTTCAAATTGATTATACAGGAGAAATTAATGAAGAAGATAATACAGGATTTTATCGTGAATGGTTTTGGAAGACAATTGGTGAATTAAGCTAGTAAATAAATTTTATAACTGGGAGATTCTATTTATTTTAATATTTTTTTAATAGTTTATTAGCTGGTAATTTTCAACCAACGCATGCACGAAAAGGTAAAAAGAAAAAAGAAATCAGTTTTATAAATCATATTAAAAAAAAAACAAGTAAAAAATAAAACTTTCTTTTTCTTTAAAGCTTTTCCATGTTTTGATGAACCAAGTATGCAAGCAAAATTTACTTTAACAATTGAACATCCACAAAATTCAACTATTGCATTATCAAATAGTGTTGATGCAGTAGGATTATGATCAATCAAAAAAAAAAAGAAATAATAATTATGAACAATATTTTTCTCTTGAATAGGTCCGAAATGAATCATTGACAACATTTGAAGAAACACCATTGATGAGTACTTATTCATTTTCTTGGGCTGTTCTACCTTTAGATGAATTTCAATCAGTAACACAAAATTTTTCGACTACTCAAGTAAACAATTTAATTGATAAATTGATAGAATTTAAAAACTAATAAATTTTAGGTTAATATTTGGGTTCGACCAGAATTGATTGGTGAATCAAATCAATATTTAAATTGGACATTTGAAGTTGTTGGAAAAACTCTTGAATATTTGCAAAATTATTTGAACCTATCTGATGAAAATATACCAACTAAACTTGGTAATTTAATTAGTTTAATTAAATAAATTTATTTTAATATTTGCATATATATATATATATATATATACATATAGATTTAATTGGTGTGCCTGATTTAATTCTTGATGAAAAAGCTTCAGCATCATGGGGTCTTTTAACATTTCGTGAAGAAATTCTTAGTACTGATTACAGTTTAAATTCTGCTGAACGATTACAAACACGAACAAAAGCAATTGTTGAACATATTATACAAACTGTAATAAAGGAAAAATTTATATTCTCATGAAACTATATTTTGTTATATTTAGTGGTTTTCAACAACGGATTGGTGGGATAATATATGGTTTGGTAAATCACTTTCATCATATCTTGCTTATAAAATGATCGAAGAAACATATCCATCATTTAAATTGGTAAGTTATTATTATTATTTTATTTTGAAAAGTTTTTTTGTTTTTTCTCTTGTAAAATATCATATTTAGATGGAGCAATTTTCTGTGCGAGAAATGATTCCATTAATGATGGATGATTTTAAACCTAGTATATGGCCTGTATCAAATAAAGATTTAACAAATAATGCACAAATTTTTGATTATTTATCAGTAAATATTTATAGTAAAGGTGCATCGTTTCTTCGTCTACTTGAATATATTATTGGTAATGATGCATTTCAAGCCGCTGTTAAAGAAATTGTATCAATAAACGATGTCACAATGGTATTAGAAACATTTTATTCAAAACTTGAATTTCCTCAAATATTAAATGCAACAGTTACGCCAAAAGAATTTCTTCGTTCATGGCTTGAAGAAAAAAATTATCCATTAGTAACTGTTGAGCTCATACAAAGCAATGATACAACAACGAGTACAATAATTAATTTTCGTCAAGCACGTTATTATGGTTCATTTGAATACAATAGTAGTTCAGCGAATCCAAATTATGTTTGGAAAATTTATATGGAATGTGATTTAGGTGGTATACGTGGTGAAAATTATTTAAATTTAACTGAAAATCATGTTAAATCAAGAATAAAATTTATGTTGGAATCATCAAGCCATACAATTGAATTACAAAATGAACAATATGCATGGATAAAATGTAATAAAGATTTTTATTCATATCAAGTTACAGAATATATGTCAAATGGACCGGATATTTATGAATTATGGCAACATTTTGTATACTTATTTTATGAAGTAAGCTATATTTATTTGAATTAAAACTTTTCTATTTTATTATAAATATAGAATGTGTTTTCTAATAATGATAAAGCTAATATACTTAATGATGCGTTTATTCTTCCACATGGTGGTGAAATTGTTACTTATGATGAAACATTAAATCTGGTACGTGAAATGACTGAAGATCCAGTTTCTTTGTATCTACCATTGTCTGTCTTTGTATGGCATTGGAATTATTTAATGGGTATCGAAGAACATTCGAAATATTTTGGAAATTTTAAAGTATTTAAAAAAATGTTTTTTAGTTGTTAGATATTTTATGTGTCTATTAATTTCATTCTAGCAATTTGCAACACGACAGGTTTTGACTCTTTACCAAAATAATATTGATGATCTTCTTACACCAACAACAAATCATCAAGAAAAGTATATATCAGTAATTCAAATTAATACATTGTAGTTCTGATTGTTTTAGTGAGAATTTACTAGAGTTTATTATATCTATAATTACGTCTATGACAGCGTTCAGCTCAAAATAACTGTTTAGTATAGTCGACCAATTGTTCTAAACTGTTTAGCATACATTTCTATAGTCTTAGTTAATAATTAATTAATCATTGATTTATCATCAATAAATACAGTAGTTGCAAGATGTTTCGCTGCAGCGCAGAAAGTGAATAAACTTCAATGATTCTGCCTAATATTTTGATTACAAATAGAGATCGATAAACCCTGATCACAAGCAACAACCTGAGATCGATAGACCTTAATACAACGGATTCACGATGAAAACACTGTTTTTTTTCTCTAGGACCCAACAAAGACTTTTTTCACATTTTTCTGGTTTTCCATTATTTAAATACGTTTTAAACTACATTTTCTTCTTAACCAATAAAGATTCACATGTCTATATTGTGTCATAGATAGGTTACGTCAATCCGCTGTAATTTTGAGGCGCGATGAAGCTTTCATTCATGACTGCAATCACGAAATTCTCAAGGAAGACATGATTGAAGCAGGACACTCATTGGAGAAAATTTCAAGGCTAATGGTTATAATTAGCCTAAGCTATAGGTTACTTTTCGATGATTCGCATCAACTCTCATGTGAAAATCACTCAAAGAATATTTTATAAATCAGGCAAACTAAAACCGTTTGACATAGAATTTTTATTAGTGAGAGAGGCAGTACTAAACTATCGAAAGAGGCATCTAACGTCATGAGATTTGTTTTCTATTTTGACATATTCTCGTCTGAAGAAAAAAAAACTCTATGTTGACCATCTAGCTTCTCTGCAAGAAGGCCGATCAAGTTCTTGCGATCAGAGTTCAACATTCTCTATTGGTGTTCAAATTATGAGACTAAAGGATCAACATTTAGGTCATTTTTACCTGTTAGTGGATCTTTTTATAGCTACTGTATTCACGGGTAACTAATTAATTAAGAAATTAGTGATTGTTTATCGTCAATATTTAATGATTAGAATTGATTAATTAATTAATTAATTAATAGGTGAACTACCTTCCTTTCAGTTCAACTGAGCTGATGTAAAGCTTCGGTTCCACGAGATGAAATGAAGCTGCCATATATCTATTTATAATAAAGACTATGACGAATAAAAGCTTTGAGGAGTCATGTTTTGAACTATTTATGTCACACTTTTGAGAAAATTTTACTACAATCAATAGAATTTCGTCATCTGACTGATTACTATCGGAGGGAGAAATGTAATTATACAGCCTACAATGCAATAGTTAAGAATCCTGAGGACACAAGTTGAATAAGTATTTGTTATTTGATTGAAGAATCTTTCTAATAATACATAAATTATACTATCATTAGAAAACAAAAATTTCTATCATAGTTTGCTTGTTTTAATTCTTTGATTTGTTATTTACAAAAACAAAGTAACAATTGATATGTTTAGATTACTCAAATCAATGCTTTTCGAATTGCTTTGTCGTGTTCAAAATACTGAGGCATTAAAGAAAGCTACTGAACTCTTTCGTCGTATTCCATTAAGTTATTTTTCCAATTCAACTGGTGATACAAAGTTTGTTTCGTTTTTTCTTTCTTAATCATTTTTTCAGTTTAATTATTTGAATTATTAGTATTGATCCTGAGTTTTTATCAACAGTTATTTATTATCATATACAAAATGCAAATGATGCAGATGAATGGGAGTATTTATGGAAAAATTTTACTGAAAATTTAAGTATAACATCACAACAACGTATTACTTTTTTACGAGCTCTTGGTGCAGCAAAAGAAATTTGGCGTCTTAAATCGTAAATTTTCTTTTTTTTCTATCACAAAAAAAATTCTCTTGATTTTGATTTAGTTTATTGGAAATTGCTGCTGATATAAATTCAGATGTAATAGAAACACAAGAATTTTTTGATCTAGTTATTTCAATAAGTCAAAATCCAAATGGGCGTGATGTTGTTTGGAATTTTTATCGTCATAATTATCTAGCTTTACTCTATAGGTAAAAGAAATATTTTCACATAAAAAAACAATCATGTTCAGCTTTTTTTGTTTTCTACATATAGATTTGGTAGAACCAATCGTTTATTTAATCAATTAATTGCAAATATTGCTCAATCATTTGAAAATTCATATTATTATCACGAGGTTAATTATTTTGCATAAGTTTTAATGAATATCATGATCTTTTTTTTTTGTTTCTGTAGATGATTACTTTTATTAATCAAAATCCAAGTCCATCACAATTTCAACAATTAGCTGTTGATCAAATTTCAATGAACTTCGAATGGCTTATCAATGGCATGACTAAAGCTCTTGATGATGCTATATCAGCTGCGGATAAGAGTGGTTCGAAAAACAAAAATTAATTAAATATAAAAAACATTTTGACATTCTTATATTAAATCTAAAATTTATTATCTAATTTTTATCTTTTAATATTTCTAGAAAGAAATAAAAAATTTTAAACAAGTATATTTTTTATTTAATATCAAAGAATCATAAGACATGAAAAAAATATATATATTCATTTATTTGATTGAATATTAATTTGAAAATGTTCGAAATCGATATTGATTGTGACAAAAGCTTTGTGACATTCTATGTTGTACATATCACTACTCGATAAAAGTCTTCACCCCAGTAGCTCTGGGCCACTCTATGTGCCGAAGACCTGAAAATTTATTTACACGCATTTTACCAAGAATATAGGTTACTGGCATTGTAGCGCCGTTATTATCTAATTAAAAAGAGAATTATGATGGATAACGCCTGTCTTTGTTGGCAGTATCATAACCATAGAAAGGAACAGTATTCTGAGTCAGCAGATTCTTCAATATGTAATGCTATGTCCTAGCTAGCTGTATTGCTGATTTCATTGAAGTTCTTCAATCCTTTCGAAGATTATAGTAATTGTTATGAAGAGAAACTATCTACTTCTCTTTGGAAATCAATAATTCAATGATAGTTCAATGAAACGAATTGAAACTTTTTTAGAACTTCTTCTACAGTTAGACATTATTACGTACAAGTTTCACAAGCAAATCTTGTACTAAAGAGAAATGGAACATTGATGATAATCTCATTAGTTTCAAAGATCCAGAAACATCAATAATTGAGCAAATGAACTTATATTTTATGTGAAGAAAAATTGTAGACGGAACCTCATCTGAATGTAAAAATATCAAGTATTAGTCATATTTTTAGTAAGAAACAAGGAAAAACTTTATATAGTTTTTTTTAGATCAGCTTGGACGAAGTCTTTGTGTCCGCTACTGTAACTCTGTTCATGAACATGATAAAACATTGATTTTTTTTTCAAAAGATTTCTCATTGAATTTTCTACTCTGATGACAGAACCAAATCTTTATAGCAATTTTAAAAATTTCAACAGACTGCTACCGCTGAACACATGTGTTATTGTGTTATATCCCACAAGAAAAAGTCGATTTTGTGACTTACAACTAAGACTATTTTTAATCAAATCAGTGTTAAATAGAATGGACCATCCTAGAAACCGTAGAAACCTAAAGCGTGCATCATTTCACCAATACTTCCTAAAAGATCAGTAATAATTTCAATTCAACGAATGTTCATCATCTTCAGTTGAGGGCAAGTTCTCATTGTCTTATTCTATCAAGCTTAACTCTTGTGTACTATTTCTTTTCACAGTCGAGGAAGTTTAATCTAGTGATCCTTACATCAAGCTCACTGTTATTTTTAGACGACATATTTTAGAACAATACAGCAGAAAACGTTTTATTTCAGGGCGAAGCATTAAGATTGATTGGCATAGACATTATTTTTTGTTCGCATTTAATATGAAAATGAGTCACAATCCTCATGTTTTGAAGACTACACTAGATTTTTGATTGATTCTAAGCATGAAAACCAAAACTCGACAATTTCTGGCTATTCTGTTATTCTTTCTTTTAGAAAATAATGCAATGATACACTTGTTCAGTGTGAATAGTCTATTAAAATTTATAAATTGGTCTTATGATTGGAGTAGAACATTCCATGGCGCATCTTGTGAAAACATTCTATCATGTTTCTAAATAGAGTTGTATGCAAAACAAAAGCTGTCGAAAAACTCTTGCTACACTCGGTAATATCTAACAATCATTGCTGACATTATTGGCATTAAATGAAGAGAATGCGCATATAGTTCCAAGTATTGTACTCTTGAGACGTTTAGCACATGTCAAATAACAGAGCATATGCTAAATTTAGTTATAGCATTTCGAAATATTCTTTGGTATAACAGTTAGTGATCAATTGAATAACTATTGGATAAAATCTTAATACCAGTTACGATTTGCGTAGATTAAATACGACAATATCATTTTCTTTTCTGGGCCACGCCAGATACACTTTCAGAAAGTCATTTAGTAGATAATTTTTCATTTTTACAAAACTAATTTGTTTATTTTTCAAAATAAACTTTTCTTGTTGCAACAAAATTAAAAAAAACTAATGAAGTTAGTACAACAATTGATAGGGAGTTTTGTAATCTCCCCTTCTATGATCTTCTCAAGGTTTTAGGTGCTCTGTTCATGAGAAAAAAAATTTATAACTAAAGCCTGTTGCTATTTTTCTACGTATGTCGGAATTCTAGACAAAATGTTATGACTAGTAAGTTGAAGAATACAAATGATTAAGTTGTATCAAAATAAAAAGAAAAGAACTATCGAAGAATCCTGCCAGACAAGGCTTTTTTCTCAGTTTTTTCCTTCATAATAATTCTCGCAGATATTTCTTCCGAAACATATATCAAAAGATATAGAATTCGGTTGCATGCTTGCCATTTGAGAAAATCATTGTTAAACAAAAAAAAATCGCATCACTTTACCGTTTTTTTTTTGTAACGGTCGCAGTCGAATGATTAAGTAATCTCTATGAAATGACAATAGAGAATAACTTTCTGAAAGTGTATCAGTATCCAACAGAAAAAAAAAGAAAATGATATTGTCTCGTTTAATCTTCACCATCCGTTAATTTTAAAAAATTGAATTTTCTGAAAGAAATAGCATTAATAAATAATACGTTGTAGAAAAAAAACAAATAATCTAATGAAGACAAGATTCATTTCTATATAGCTCAAGTAAAAAGAAACGATGCAAGAAGTAACAACAAATCATAAAAATATCCATTAAGTTGTTTAATGCATTTTCCAAATTATAAAAAATTGATAAATATACCAGATGGAAATAATTTTCTATAACGGTCTGTTAAATGATATTTAGCTCTTATCAACAGTATTTTTTCATCTGCAAATAAATCGAGGTAAGTAAAAGAGATATGCATCCTGGTCGAAAGGTCCTATTTGCATTCCCTCTACACATTCGGTACATATATATGTTATTACAACTGTTATTTACTGAAAGGTTTTAACAATAGAATAAGAACGATAACAACAGCTGCAAACGATCATTATCTATCGTTGTGAGATATAAAGCAGAACAAATAACGATACCATAAAGAATTCTGACTTAGGTCAAATCAGGAAGAAAAAGACATAAAAAACGTGCATTCATTATATATAACATTTCACCACTTGACAATGTCATGGATTATACTTAGTGTTGTATTTTATTGTACATCGTTGATCACTGCTGGTCTAGTTTCTGGTCTTATACCACAACAAATAGAGGAGATCAATACACAGGCTACACCATCAGATGTATCAACAATAGAAACAACAACTATAAATTTAGATTCATCAACATGTATTGAAGATGAATGTCATCCACGTTTATTATCAAATTTAGAAGTTCATAATTATGATTTAGAATATATCTATAATCATATTAACGATACAATAGTTCAAGGATATGTAACAATTAATTTTACACTTAAAGAACCTATTAATCAACTTATTTATCATGCAAAACGAATGGTTCAACTTGGTGAGCCAGTGCTTTATGAAGATGGTGTTCATCGTCTTGTTACAATGCGAAACTATACACCACATGATTATATTAGTTTATGTCTTTTATCGAAAAATTCATCGTTTTCACCAAATCGATATAGTTTAAAACAAAAATTTGTTGTCAGTTTAATTTATGGTAATATAGGTTTTTATCAAACTTTATATAATGATGGCAATGGAACAATACGGTAAAGACTTATTCGTTTTTTAAATAAATGCTTAGAGTTTTATGTTGTTGTTTTATGTTCATTTAGAAAATTATTAGCATCAAAGTTTCAACCAACTGATGCTCGAAAAGCATTTCCTTGTTTCGATGAACCACAATTTAAAGCTGTCTTCAGAATAAGTATTATCCATCCGGAAGAGACTATTGCCATAGCAAATTTTCCCAGTGTATTTTATTATAAAATGTTTTTTTTTTAAACGAATTATTGTTGTCAATAGATTGAAGAAACAATCGAAAATGGCTTACGTCGAACTACTTTTGCTGACACATTTCGTATGAGTACTTATCTTGCTGCTTGGGCTGTTCTTCCTGATACATATGGACAACTAGTCAGTAATGACGATAAACCAAAAGTATATATATATGGAATTTTTAAAGAATTTTGTTGTTTTTAATGATATATCTATTCAAGATAACAGTATGGGCTCGTCGTGAACCTACAGTTAAAGGTCATACTGCATTAGCACTTGAAGTAGCTCTTAATTCTGTTTCATTTTTTATCGATTATTTCAATATATCGGAATCTGTGACACCTAAAATTGGTAACTATATCGATATTTGTTTATAATATTATAATTTGAAACTGTCTAATAAGATCTTTTGGCTGTACCGGATTTCGCATCGGGTGCAATGGAAAATTGGGGTTTAGTATCATTTCGTGAAGATCGTATAATATTTAACGACAAAATTGCATCGATAATTCAAAAACAACAATTAGGAGAAACAATGGCACATGAAATTGTTCATTTTTGTAAGTTTAATCAACAAAAATTAAATATGAAAATCATAATTATATAGGGTTTGGTAATTATGTAACATGTAAATGGTGGGATAATCTATGGTTAAATGAAGCTATGGCTACTTGGCTTTCATATAAGCCATTTAAAGTTTACTATCCTGATTGGAATATGGTAGAATAAGTCTTTTTTGTTGTTGTTGTTGTTGTTGTTTTCCACTCAGATTAAAGAATATTTTGTTTAAAGGAATTACAAGCATTAACTGAAGAAGTCATTCCTGTTATGTGGGATGATGCCAAACCATCATCACATCCAATTGTTGTTCAAAATGTAACAAGTGCTGCTGATATAACTAGTTTATTCGATTCTATAACATATTCAAAAGGTGCAAGTATATTACGTATGTTAGAAAAAATAGTTGGTTCAAATACATTTCGTGATGGTTTACGAGATTATTTAAAAATGAATGCATTT